AAAAAAAGAAAAAAAAGAAAAAAATCCGTCAGCTGGCAGCTTCTGAAACTAACCGAACAAATTGCCTCTAAATCATCTGGTGAGTTAATTATCTGCTGTGCGCAACGTTCGCTTGCTTTTTAGTAAAAAAATCAAAGCCATTTTCTTTTACTTTATCTTTATTTCACCCGCCGAGGACACGCTCCTCCCACACCTCGCTGCTGCGGCTGCTTGTTCTGGTCTGAACACTAGTGCGTTCTTCAGTCTGTACATAGAGCGTCCAGTGAGAGACGTTTTGCGCTTTTTGGCCGCTCAAAAYGCGTTTGGTGTGAACGTAGCATAAGGCTGAGTTCACCTGAAACTCATCAGACTGAAGAAGTCTCTTGGAGGAGAGACGAAACGTTTCATTAAAGAAGAACCCGTCCAGAAGACCTACTTATTTCTTTTTTTAATTTCTTCTACCTGGATTACTGAGATGCATCAGGATATTTCCTAAATGATGTTTGCCAACATGTTGCCGACACTCTCAGTCCTCTAACAGCACAAAAACAAAGACCACTGATGTTTGTGAAAAACACAGGCAGGTTTTGTTCATGATGACTAATAAAAACTAAAATAATTCAGACAAACTAAAAGCAGCCTGTGTTGTGGTGCTTCACTCAAACAAAAACCTCGTCTCATACTTATAATAAAATACGAAGGTAATTCTCTGTCTTCACTAAACATTTGGAACATTGATCACTAGATTAGCTGCTTTGCTCCACTATAATTAATAACATTTAATTTCAAACCAAACGTCTTTTATATTTAGAAAAAATAAAAACCTAAGTCTAAATGGCTGTTTAATTAAGAGAAAATGTCACTGTCTTTAGTTTTGAAGCCAACTTTCAGTTCATTTTGTACTTAGAGGCAAAAACACATTAGAAGCAGCTTTAAAAACATGTATCACCACAGATGCAGTAAAACACCTCAGATCTGTCAAACGTGTCTGTAAATGTTTAGCATTAAATACTAAATAAAAAAACAGATGTTAAATGTTTCCTGTTTGGCTCAGAGGATCTGGGATTATTTTCTTCTGTTTGACAAACAGATTTTCGAACCCTGGTGGTCTGAGTGGAGACCGTCGACTCGGTGAAACCGTTAGAAAGAGACACAGCAATAAATAAAGCTGACTTTGTATAAATAGACTTCAAGTTAAAATATTGCTAATAGTCTTCGTATGATTTATACAATATAAATGTTGCATTAAAAAACCTCTAATGCTTTGTATTTACAGGAAATATGTAGAATTTTCACAGGATTTTAACCAGGTGGGAGGAGAGTTTCTGAGATGAAGTCTGGAACCTTCGGGCTACGTTAAACCCACTGCCGCCGGCTGTGGTCTCAGGTGGTCTCAGGTGGTCTTTCAGCGAGTTTCCTGAGCTGGGTTTAAGGAAAGAGGAGTTTTTACAGGTAAGGCTCTCCAAACGTCCGGCGGCACTCCATGACACCCGTGCTCGGAGGACGGTCACAGTTGTGGGTCAGCTTCACCAGGTGCGGCATGAGGCGGTCGTACGCCAACTTGTACTCCCGATCGAAGGCGTCTGAGAAAAGGCGAGGACACGTCAGGTGGGCGGAGTCTTCCTCAGTCGTTTTTTTTTTTATTTCTAGCTTTTATTTTACATCAAAGCCTTTTCTTCTTAATTTTCCTACATTTAGAATACTTATATATGTACCTAAAAATGAGCTTTAAATCACAATCTTTCTCTTTTTTTAAATCTAAGCACAGGTTTTGCAAATATAGTCATTATGTTGTGTTTACTTTTATGTTTACTATAACACCAATAAAAAAATAAATAAAAATATATAACCATGTACACAGAACACTTAAATATAATAATTAAGTGAAAAATGCAAAAGGAAAACAGTCAAATGTCCATTAGGTCTGCAGAATTGTAACAAATGATAAAAACTTTCTGACTCACCAATGTCGATGTTATCTTTTCCTAAAGCCACCAGTGAGAGAAAGAGGATGTCTCGGTACAAACTCCTGTGTGTCAGAAACAAAACCAGTTTGATGCAAACAAATGGATCAGTCTAATTTACACTGGATGCGGATCCGCTCCGCTGTGGTCCGAYCTCTGTAGCAAAAACACAACCACTCTAATCAATGAGAGTATTTACACTGGCTCCGCACGGCGGCAGGGATCCGCCACATTTAGATTCAGTCCTATTTTTGCCRGACGCTGGAGTCAAACAAAAGTCACTACAAACCAAGAGGAAAAGGAATGAGCGCAACATCCCTATTTTCAAAATAATTCACCGAAGGCGCACAAATGTTGTCAAAACCCCAACTATAGTAACAAATATGTGGATACATTTAAACACAAATGCTGTTAAAATGTATGGTTCTGTTTGGGAAGCAGCAACATGTTGGGTGCCGCATATGATGACACGCATGATACACATGGATTTTATTTTGAAATCAGAGGTTTCAAAAAGACGACAGTGATGCAGTTTCAGCTGTCTTTGAAGTTCTCTACAGAATTAATTATTTTGCTCTGACTTCCACATTTATCACTAGATTTATCGCACAATCTTGAATTTTCTTTACACGCTGCTCGGACCTCCTTTGTGCTTCTCACTGGACCGAACCTGAGCGGAGCGGACGCTGCACAAACTGGGGTGCAAACGAACAGCAGAGCGGAATCGCATCGAGTGTAAATTAGAGGTAAAAACATAACGTCACTGATGACACATGATGGGACAATATGTTATAAAAAGTGTGTGTGTGGGAGAACCAGAGGTGTCAAAAAGTATTCACATTCATTACTTAAGTAGAAGTATAGATACTAGAGTTTAAAAATACCTTTTTGGAATAAGTATCAACTCAAGCTATTTACTCAAGTAAAAGTATACATAGCCAAAATTTCTACTTCAGTAAAGTAACAAAGTATTTGTACTGAGTTACTCGACACCTCTGTGGGCGACACAGTGCCAGTGCAGGAGGAGCAACATGCCTGAATGAAAACAAACACATAATGAACAGGTTTTGGACGGAGCTCCTACATTAAAGAATGAACCTTCAGTTCTGTGCAGGTCCTGCTGACCTTTGTCTTTTGACTCCAAGGGTTTTGTCCAGCAGCTGCAGCAGCTGAGCCATGGGCCGGCTCACGTCGTTCCTCTGGATGCTCTTCACCACGCTCTGCAGCAGCTCCTCGCTGAACGGCTTCTCCTCCTCGGGGACGGGCCGAGCCAGAGGGTACCCCACGTCTACCAGGACACACAAACACACAGAGATCAGCAGCAGGCGTCTCCTGCTTCTCCCTCAGACATGAAACAACGCGTCACAATGAGGATGGGTTGATAATCCAGTTTAGCTGTGACCAACAGATTCTGTGAAAAGGAGAAGAACTCCTGTTAAAAAAAATCACTGAAAATATGAATTCGGCTATATATAAAACAACATGAACGCGAGTGCAGGGGTTCACAGTAAAACAAAGCAGGAACACACTGAAGCTTAACCCCGCCCCCTGCCACAGTCTGAATAAGATTCAACACTCCACAGATACGAAGGCTGCAACACTGCAGGCCATCAAGCAGAAAACAAAGAAAACGACAGAAAACAGCAGCGCTAACACACACAACACCACAACAAGACTCATCTGAGTGTGTGGAGCAGAGGGGAACACTCACTCTCTAACAACAGAGTACAATTAAGTCCTGGAAGACAGAGAGCAGACAGTTAGAGCAAAGATGGAGCCTTCGTTAGGGATGAGCGATACGTTATTGTGTGCGATATACCGTCAAAGACATTCACCATGGTAATAAGTTGTCATCTCACGATAAAAACAATAAATACCCACCGCGTGCCGCCAGGCTTTATGCCTCCCCGCCAGGTTAAGCTTTGTTTGTTTACTCAGAGCGGACATCGATGCGCAGAACATGTGCTTAAGTAGTGAAGCTATCGTAATGACTCTCAGAGTGCAAAAACGCAGTCATAGTCATCTAAAAACTCTTTAGAGTTCAACAACATGCTAGAAAAACAACAGGACGGGGCAGCTTCCCACAAAAAACACAGCTCCTCCGTCTCTTCTCTGTCTTAAAGGAAAAACTAATCCTCAAACTGTGCCTGGAATCAACCTACTTCACGTATGGGGGGCAATATTATAGGCAGAAACATGGGTGTGCCATGGGATCCCCAGTTTCTCCTATTGT